TAGTTCACACAAATTACTAAAAAAGAAAAATTGTTGTACAATTCCAACTAGTTGTAAACTGACAAAAAAAAATTGCTTAACAGCATAGCAAACCAATGTTTTTGGACCCGGCCCGGTGGTTGGCCCGTTTTGGCCACCGGGTCCGGTTGAATCGGTTGAATCGGTTCACCCGACTGGTTCAACCGGTCAACTAAAAAAACTCTTTTTTTTTTTTTTTACATATTTACAATGCTGCTCTGTTCGGTGCTTCTACGCTCTGTTCGGTGAAGGAGAAGCTGTTGCTGGGAAGGAGAGGAAGGCAAGGAAGATGAGCTGCCAAAACGATGGTGGTGAGAGCAGGGAGATCGGTCTGTCTGCTGTTCGGTGGAGGAAGGCAAGGGGTTGGAGAGGGCTGTTGACGGTGGTGGTTGAGAGCAGATGCAGAATTGCAGATCTGTTTTGTAGCTGTTGCTCTGTTCAGTGAAGAAGAAGCTGCTGCTGGGAAGGAGAGGAAGGCAACGAAGATGAGCTGCCAACATGATGGTGGTGAGAGCAAGGAGATCGATCTGTTTCTTCTTTCAAACACGGTGCTGGTGACTGGTGAGGGCAGGGAGAGCAGTTCGTGTTCTACAGTGTTTTGGGCTGCCAAGTTTTTTTTTTTACCTTCTGGGGTTTTTTTTTTTTTTTTTAATCTAATCTTAATTGAAGTTTAATGGTTTTTAATGTAATAATATGAAAAAGTTGGGATAAAATGGTATATTGCCTTGAAAATGGGAAAAAGTTGAGTTAAATGAAGAGATGTGGTGCAGCTCGGCGGGTTCAACGGGCGGAACGGGCTGAGCGGGTGAGGCGGGCTGGACGGGTTGGAGCGGGCCAAATGTGAAAACGGGCTGCAGGATGTAACCGGCCCGTTTTCAAGTCCGGGTCCGGTCGAACCGGTTGAACCGACCGGGCCGGGCCGGGTCCAAAAACATTGTAGCAAACAAAGGTACCTTATTAACAGCATAGCAAACAGACTTTGCAATCAAAACAATAAATGTTATTGAGCAAGATGGTGAAATCGCCACGATACTTTTCAATTATTTTTCATTTTTCTTTTCTTTATTTATTTATTTATTTTTATTATTATTGTTTTGAGCTGAGCTATTTTGAAATATCTAATCTAAACCCTCCCATTTTTACACATTTATTTACACTGTGGACTCACTTAGAAAAGGATATTTACAATTTTACGCTATGATAATATTAGCGGCAGCATTTCGTTTGGACTTCTTATGTCCACTATGATAATGTGGGCTCGGACTCTATTTTTATACGAATTGGGGTAGTGTAAATTC